CAAATTTATCCTGTAGTCTAACTTGCATTTAGATGGGGGAAGGGAGCTGAGAATTCTGCATTGTACTATCTATAACTCTTCTCGACTGTCCGGGATTAACTTTAACATAAATCCAGAGTGTGAGGAGCATGTCACGTTCAGCTGTGCACAAATGGAAGGAAAAGCATTAACACCTTGCACCGAGCCCCTGTGTCGGACGCTGCCACCTGCCATAGCAGTTGCCACCGAGGGGTCCAGGGCTGTACCTCAGACGAGGCCAGGCTGACTGGAAAGATCCAGCCAGCGACCTGGAGACGGGCATGGAGCACAGCTCCAGCTAACGGGTTGGTTAGTTACAGAAGGGCACAGCGGCGGAGGCCTCGAGGAAATCCTTGGCTCAGGAGAGACTTCCTCTGAAGTTCCCGCCACCGCTGCCGTCCCTCCCTCCCCGCCCGCGCTGTCACAGCCCCATGCCGGCACGCAGGAGTACGCGCTGCTGCAGAGGCAGGCGGGGTGAGCGAGCTGAACCGCAGCGACAGCAAGCCTGCCAGCGAGAGCGCCCAGGCTTAGCACCCAGCTCCCCTTCTCGGCCCTGCCCTCGCTCCTCCGCCCGCGGGGCTCCCTGGCGAGCAGGCGGCGCTGGGCTCCGCCGAGTGCCAGGCAGAGGAGCTGTCCTCTCCTGCTCACAGGCAGCCTCAGCCGAGCGGCCTCCTCCTCCTCCCGGGGCAGCGGCCGCCGCCGGCTCGCCCTGCGGGCGGGCAGGAGCGCCCCGCACTCCCTCCCTCGCCCCGAGCCGTTCGAAAATCCCGCCCGCGGGGCGACGCGCGGCCTCTCGGGGCGCGTCCCGCGGCCGGCCGGGGGGCGGCGCTGCGGAGCGCGGCCGGGGCGAGGGCGGCCCGCGGCCCGCCCGGCCGGGGCGAGAAGGCGGGAGTGCGGCGGGAGCGCGGCGGCGCCCCCGGCTCGGGACGGGGGTCCCCTCGGGGCGGCGGAGCCGGGACCGTCCCCCCCCTGGGCTGGCGGCGGCCAGTAACTTTCGAGTGACTTCCAAAAATAGTGGCAGGCGGGCGGCCCCCTCCTCCCCCACCCCGGGGGGGGCTCCCGCAGCCAGCGCTCCGCTCCCAGCCGTGCTCCCGACCCCGCGCACTCACCGCGGCTGCCCGCTGCCGGCACCCGGGGCCAGCCCGC